TCATATAATAAAGGTCTGTTTCATATTCATAAACAAACATGTTATACCCATAAACAAAGTACCTAATACCCATGAAATTAGGCCTACTTTAACGTATAACATGAGTATTTATCTTCTGAATAGTAGTTTTTATATATATTTTTGTATTAGTTTCTAAAATTTTATAACCTTGAATTGATGACATACTGGCTTATATTTCTTAACTGGTCTGTTGTACTCACCAAAATAAAAAAATATCCTCAGTTGAAATTGTTTTGGTAATATACAATTATCAATTAAAATATTTTTTAGAAATTTCATGATTAATTATGAGAGTTCAACACTATAGCATAATCTTTGTAAATATTTATATTAACATAAGTACTTTATAATTATAATACGCTATGTAATGTAAACTTTTAGCCGTAAGAAGAAAACTAAAAAACCTACCAACAGAGGGCACATGAGCTGTTGTACTTAAATTGTTTTATAAATATATACTGTTTTTTTCTTTCCCTTATTATTTACATTTATAAATTGATGCATAATGAATAATATTTGGATTTAAATAACGTCCAATTTTTATTTATGATATATTTAAAAATCATTTTAGTTAACATCAATATTAAAAGTGAAGGTTAGTTAGTGTATTTACGGTAATTGACCTTCACACTCTTTGAATTAAATTTTATCTCACTACTTACTTGTAATTGTTCTACCAAAAATTAACAACGAAGTTCATTTTTTTATATTAAGTATATTTTTTATTTTGTTATTGCAATGTTTAGTCTAAGAAATCTCTGGTGTCCTGTTAAAAATTTTTTATCGGCATATTTCCTCCTCTTCTCTTTCTTTTGTTTTTTAAAAAGTGGTCTTTGATAATGTGATATTTTGATACAGGTTACATCCTTTAAAACTAGTACATGTTTTTTGTACAAGTTTTGAGGGATATATGAAAAAAAAAAATGTGAAATTTAGGTAAATTCATTTCTTTCTCTTCCTCTTAAGGTTTTCAAATGTTGACATGACCTATTGTATGTAGCAGAAGAAAAATAAAATAGACAAAATATTGGGTAGCCTATCTCCCTTTTTTTCTCCCTCATTACCGTGAGTCTTCTAATTTACTTGAATAAGTTTTGAATTTTATTTTTAAGGGAAAAAGACCTTTTATTCTGCACAGTTAATTTTTTTACATTTTTATTAAAATGTTTTATATAATACTTGGCTATTTTCAAGTCTGTAAACAGAAAATCAGCAATTAAAAAATAAATTATAATAAGTTACCTTATGTCGTCTATTATTGCTGCATTATTCAATTACCTAGTTTAGGATGAATATAATATTCATAAAGAAAAATGATATAGTTAATTTTGAATTTTATTATATTATTTATTTGTACTCAGGAGACCTTAAAATATGTGTTTCAGTTGAAGACTTGGAATAAAAATGTTTTACGAAGACATTTCTTCCTTATTTTGTATATATAGATATTACATTGAGTTATAAAGAATCTTTTTTTCTTATTATTAAATTTAACTTATAACAGAAGGAGTTGTGGTGTGTTCAAAAAATAAAATTATAAATTCAGTTGTGTTTTAATGAGTTCCTCATTTTCAATTACCATAGTTTATTTCAAAGTTTTCTAAGCATTTGTGAATAATGCTTTACTATTTTTCTTTTTATAATAATGTAAGTTACTGTAATTTAAAATAATGTTTTTGTAAATACGAATTTTTTCCTGACTGAAAATTTAAAAAATTTTATTAAAAATGCTAACCTCATAAAATGAATATTGATTAATGGTTTGCAAGATAGACATTCTTGTAAACACTATTAAATTGTCTTTTTTTTTTTGCTTTATTTTGATTCATAAGGAAAACATTTTATAAAGTTTGATAAATAGAACTATTATTATAATTTTGTATTGAAAAATAAGAATATAGAAAAAGTAATTAAAGGAATACTATTTAATACAAATTAAGAATTAGTGGGATTTAGATTTCGATTCTTAAAGAAGACCAGCGTGTTGTTTTAAATTGATACACAGTCATTTGAAAACTATTACAAGCTTTGATTATATCTTTTTGGTTGGATTATTCCTGTATTCTTGTTAATATATTATTTATATAAATACAGTCATTTAACATATTTTTGTAAGTAAGAAATTTTTGTTTATTTGAATGTTTCTGACTATTGATTGATTAAAACTATGTTATATAATTTATATTTTTTGTTTATATATTATATAGTATTTACTATTATTCGTGAATATTTGTCTGTTTTTAATAATTTCTGATTTACTAACTGATTTATGAAAATAAACTATAAATTTTTTACACTTAAAATCTTATCTATATATTTAATCCCGTCTGCTAATTTACTTTCCTTTTTTGTTTGTGTTGTAGGTGTTATAAATAAGGAACAATTGATTTAATTAGAAATATTGTTTTTTGGAAGACATAATATTTATTCACCATATTTTCTCCAATTTGAAAATATCTTATAAAAAACGCATGGAATGATTAAATCCAACCTCACTTTTCAATTATTTGTAAATTTTATTTTTAATACTTTGTTTTTGGTCTCTATTATAATCTATATAATATGATACTTTAAGTATTTAATAGATACACATTTTTCATTAACACAGTCAATTATATTTAAACGGATTTGATTTTTGTTATCTAATTTTATTATTTTAATTTTTTTTCAGAGTATAATTAATGACATAAATTTAATTATATTTGATGAGAGTCAAGTTTGGTCCACGGAAGACAAATTATCAGTAGAAATGTCCGTTGTGAACGCAGTTCAAAATCCTCTATGTCTTGACCCATCTTTAGAAACTGGAATAAGGAGATTTCATTCTCATTATGTGAGGAATGCATTAAATACTCTACCTGTACGTTCATCTGTTGTAAAGCATTCTCAGGTAGAGACATTTATTTTTTTATGGTCGTTAAAAGATAAGCTCACGGTTGACCACATCCTCCTTACTCAACTGCAAAGTCTTCCTCTATCTAACAGAGTGTCCTGCATTGGTTCAAATCCTTCCTCAGAGATCAGTCCCAGTATTAGTTGTCCCAGGTCTACTTCCATCCAAGACACTTTCCCTCTCCTGTGGTGTCCCTCATTACTTTTTTATGCTCTACTCTGTTTGACATTTATATTAATGTCCTTCCTGCCTCTGTTCTATTACCAGCCACAACAAATCTTCAAGAAAACTTAAAGCAGAAGCTAAAAAATTGAAGTTAAATGTGGAGAAGACAAAGGCAATGATGATTAGCTCCAATCACCTCCTTAAAACTGTTCATAATATTCCAACCCTACACATAAACGATAATCCCATAAAATTATGTCCAACCGTTTGCCTTGGAATAACCTTTGATCAAACTCTTTCCTGGAAAAACCATGAATCCAATATATCCCGACGTGTCTTACCTACCTTAAAGCGTCTAAATTACTTCTGCCACCTATTCCCATTTGAAACCCACAGGCAAAAATAAAATGTTTGATAAATTGCTTTGTATAATTCATCTTTAGGATCTGTAGGGACGCCTCTGTCTCATGTTTATGAATAGTTAAAATTGCTTCTTATCCTTCCTAATATCATAAATATTTCCTGGCACCTTTCTTCTTCCTAGTCATCCAATCCTGCTGTCTCTCATACTTCTCCATCCCTATGGAACTCCATCCCTTTCTACGTCAGTTCCTCCAATAACCTCTCCATCTTTAAATCCCATCAATTCAATCACTTCCTATCCATTAAGTCCTCAAAAAATTGTAAATAGGAATTTCTGTAAATATGTATATAAATTATTAGGTTTTTTTAAACTATCATTATTTCTTTGTATATTTTGTTATTATTTTTTAAAGTTATGAATAAAAGGCTTGAAAGAAAAGGTATGATCATAAATGAAGAAAAAAGTAAAATTATGCTGATAGATCGAGAAATTGAAGACGTATAAATAAACTGTAGGGGTAATAATTTGGAGTTGGTAGAGGAATATATGTACCTAGGAATAGTTGTTGGAAGGAATGGAAAAATAGACCAAAAGATATCAAACAGGATCAAAAAAGCAAATGGCATCTATTACCAGATCTGCAACATGGTCGTAGGAAAACGATAGGTGGAAAATATAACTAAGATCCATATATAGAACACACTCTACCTTTCAACCCTACTGTATGGTAGTGAAAGCTGGATCCTTCTAGATAGGCACAAAAGTAGATTTACCGCTGCCGAAATGAAATATCTGAGAAGAGTAGCTGGTCGAACTAGAAGAGATTGCATCCGGAATGAACGGATTAAAGAAAATGTTAAGGTGCCACCAATGCTGGAAACCGTGGAAAAGAAAACGCTCAAATGGTTTGGCCATGTTGTGGGGATGGATGAGGAAAGAGAACCCAGAAAATTTCTTGAGGCAAGACACACAGAAAAGAGGCCAAGAGAACTTCCATAGAAAACTTGGATTCACAAAATAACCAAGCTGGGACAGAGAAGAGGCAAGCAGTTGGGTTACATAAGGCTTGGCAAGGGACCATGATGACTGGCCTAAATGGGTCGAGGCGGCAAAGTATCATTATATTCACCATTATTAATGCAAAAATTAGATTTACTGTAATTTATGCCATCTAAACATCAATAAAAAGAAAAAATTCGATTTACCAGTTCTAAGTCTTAGAACTGTTAACTTTGCTTTCCCTGTTGGTATCTAAGATTGCATACATCGACTTGTGATTACTTTTTGAATTGTTTTCATCAATTTTTGCTGTTTTCTAATTTCCTGGGACTTTATTTTTGTGATTTCTTAAGGAAATGTTCATTAATTACTATTCATATCTCTATCAACCACAATAAACTAATTAGAGATAGTTCTATTTAAAAAATTGTTTCGAGGTGACAATGTGGCAGTTTAAAATGATTCAAGTTTTATTTTTTAACATTATTTGATTAATATCAGCTTGCATCTTTTAAATTACGCCTTAACTCAAGTAAAATTCATCAGTTACTGATTGAAATGATCAAAGTTGGTACTCATGGACTGGCTTGCAAGGTTATTGACTTTAAAGTATAATGGAGTGTACACATGTCTCGTGAACTTTACTTTCCGTTTTGTCTCAACTCTTTTGCATTTGAACCCAGTTTACAGTTACGAGCCTATTCTGTTGGCCACTATCCAATACTGCACTTTCTGGAACAGATAGGATCTACAGAGAAGGCCTCACTAAATTGTGATGTTACCACAATACATTTCAATTTAGGGGTTTTATTTTTATGTATTCATCAGCTGTTGAGTCATTAAAAATTAAATATATACAAATTACAGGAAAAGTTTAATTATTTTTATTTTGTTTTTAAACTTGTTTAACATTCGGAGTTTTAAGAATGGCCTACAGGCTAGGCCACTAAATGTTCTTCAACTTGACTCAAGAATATGGTGGAGCACTAGTTCCAGGGTGGCCTGCACTGTAGGCTACTAAGCGTTAACGGGTTAAGTAGTAATAATTTTTTAATCGTTGATTAATTAGTTCATAGTTAATATAATGTATTTATTTTGTTTTTATAATTATTTCAGCTGTGTATAAACCGGAAAAGGAGACAGGAAGACAGCTGTGTGAGACCAAATAAACATCTTATTAATTTTATTGCAAAGAAAAAACATCTTGAATCTTTGAAGTGTGAAGCAGTGATTTCACCGTCATATAAGGTAACTAGCTGATGTACCCGTCATGGATGGGAGTATAGTTAAGTTAAATTAAATTAGACATTTTTATCAATCCGTAGAAAATATTTTAAAACCAAATTTGAAAAAATCTCACACAATTTTTCTGCACAAAAAAAAATAGACTTTGGTCTTCAGAAAATATTTTAAAACAGACAAAATCTGGTTCAATAAAAATTGGCTGGTACCTATTCTTTACGCAATAGTTCAATATCAAAAGACAAAGCCGGGTCAAATAAACTGTAGAACCAAGTAAGCTGTAGAGAAAAAATAAAAACAAAACCCAAAGATGTTGGTACCAAATCATTTCCAAATAATTCAATATACGAAGCCAGATCGAATTCCAAGTTTGTGATAATCACCCAACCAAATACGGTTTCAATAAATTGTATTGAAATAGTAAATCAGTAATTCAAGTCAATATCAGTAATCAAAACCTATTCAAATCCAAAAGTTCCAAATATTCTCGGTTTTTATCAAAGGTTAGTTCCTTACAGTTTAACCGTTGTTAGTTAACTGAGAATGATAGAGGGAGGGGCAACAAATGAAAGGAGAATCGGGGGGTAACGGAGTGGGGTGAGACAGACCGGATGTAAAAAAAAGTGTTCTGTTGCTTCAGTCTTTTCACAACAATCGAAATAACTTTAATAGAATAAAACTTGTTTCTAAATTTAATTGTTCCCAGTTGATTCCAAGTTAATTTCAATTAACTTGAAATAAATTGTAAACTTTAGATTAAACAAATTCAAACCGTCAATCATTTCTTTTCATTCATTCAAATTTTTACTGGTGCATAAAAACTTTATTAATATTTCATCCGCGTTTTCAAATGACTTTGTAAATTGCAATCAGACAATTAAAAAAAAGAAAGAATTATTTTATGTATTTAGATTTTGTTTATGTCTATTATAAATTATTTGAATATCAACAGTTATTTATTTTAATTTAAGGTTTATATAATCAATCAATTTAATTTAAGGTTTAAAAACTAAGTAAAATATTGATTTAAAGTTGAAAATCTATGTGTGAAACAAATTTTTACTTCCTTGACTAATAATGAATATGAAAGTAGTGCTAATGAGTGAACAATTATAGTCGAAATTTTGGCTATGTATTATTTCTCTGAAACGGGTAATAATCTTGGTGAAGGCGACTAACCGAAACAGCGTGACTTAGGTGCTAAAGTGTGGCTGGATGTCGGATTTTTCCTGGTAGGGTAGGCTGAAGTATTTACATTTTCTGTAAAAATAACACCTAAAACTTGTTTTTTTTTTTTTTTAAGCAGCCATTCCATATATTTAATCCAAAAAAAAAAAATAATAATAATAAGACCATATTTATTTGACTTGGCGAGCTTGATAAAATGAGATCTCGAGCAGATCAATTGTACAAACCTAACTACTGACTGTTAAAACAGCTCGTTGACGCTTAAGCGGAAGTCCGGGATTTTGTTTTTTTTTTCTCGCTGGGATCTCTAGACAAAGTACTCAAGAATTCATAGTTTTGATTCTACTCAATATTTTGTTTTTAGTCAAAGTCTGTTTTAAGTCAAACAAGCTTAAGTATAACATAGAAAATTTCAAAAGTCTACTATTAGCCATTGCTGAGTTTATAGCTGGAAAAATAACCAAAATAACATTAGATTTTGAGTCACCTGCACCGTGTAAAATTAGAACTTGATCTGAATATTGTGGCGGGTGGGATGAACTTTTTAGGAGTTTTTTTTTCCGATTTCTGGCTAATCTGTTTGGTTAATCCTAAAAGTGTATTTTTAGCTACAACGCATTACAGATGTTCAGGGTTTCAGATTTTTTCCCGTTGAGTTGTGATCATTTTTTTTTAATCAGTTGAATAGTACATCTTTTAAATGTGGCTCACGGTAGAGTAGGTTGGAATAAGAATTGAAGTAACTGCCTAACCAGGGTCTCTAGACAAATTATTCAAGAATTCATAACTTTGGTTCTGCTCAGTATTTTGTTTTCATTTGAAGCATATGTTTTAAGCCAAGCAAACCTAAATATAATGTCAAAATTTCAAAAGTCTACCATTAGCCATTGCTGAGCTTACCCCTGTCGTATCATTTTGTTGAGCAATGCGGACATACAGACAAAAAATTTTTTAAAAGTGGATTTGGTGTCTGTCATGTATGAAATGGAAAGATATCATTAAACGGGTTGATTCTATTCAATGTAAGAAAAAACCTTTATTTTATTTATATAGATAAAAAACACTCAAACTGCGTGTGTATATCTATATACCTCTATCCTTTGGTTTCAAGAAGATTTAACAATTCTAATAATAAGACTAAACAATCCAAGAAGACTGAGATTGAATCAGTACCTGAGCGAACTTAAATGAACTACGGTTTAATGCTGATAAAAATAAGGCCATTGTCATTGGTTCCAAACCCCTTCTCAAATCCAATACCAACTTTCCTACTATATACTTCATGATCATCCTATCAGCTTCAACTTCTCTGTTGAAAATTTAGGCATTAAAATTTACTAAATCCTCTTTTGGAATCACCACACTATGCCTACAAATCCTCCAATGCAAGTCCTCTATCCACTCTCTTACTACAAGATCTCGTCCTTCTAACATTTTTTTATCCCTTTTCACAGATTGCTTTATTTTAACACTCTTTTATTGCCACCACTTTTTGAAATTCCATCCCTCTTAAAGTGCACTCTGCCCCATCTTATCTATATTTAAAACCTAGCTATTCCAATTAATCTTCACAAATCAACCAGATGTTGACTTTTATTTTATTATTATTTTTTTAAAATATGACAAATGAATTGCAGTTTTTTTTTCTTCTGTTTTTGAGATATTTCATTTTTACTTAATTTTATCTTCATTTTATAATATAGCATTTATTTTATCTTGAATGCACTCCTCACCCATATTACTTTCAATCCATGCCTTTGTATATTGATTGTTTTTTACTATACAGTTGTTTGATTGCTAAAATCTTTAGTTTACAAAAGTAATTTCATTTTTTGTCTTTTTATAGTTTTTCAGAAGTATGTACACATTTATTTATATATTGTAACAGGTATTATGGCCATAATTAATATTTATTTATTTTTATTGATTGAGACTTATTCTTAATGAAATGAAATAATTTTATTATTCTGGGACTAGTGTCCCTTTAGAACAAATCACAAATACAGATTATATATCAATATTTTGGTGTGTCCATGAAATACTATTTAATATTTATAGGTTGATTTGGAGTACAATAAAGTTATAAATGATGAAAAGATATAAATACGTGTAAATATGAAATTAATTAAGTGAACGAAATATCGGTGAATTACAAAATAATCAGAGTATCTGGGTGTACTTTGAGGTTTTTAGATGCATTTCGTGATCAATCGGATTGGGAATGGAGTACGTGATCGAAGAGGAGAGATTTGAATGAGGATATCGATTTTGCTTGTTGAATATCTGAAGGTATAGAGTTCCAGAGGGAGACAACTTGTATTAAAAAGGATTTATCAAATGCAGCAGTTCGGTGAGGGGGAGGATAGATGTCGGACGCACGGGATCTGGTGGGACGGGATCAAAAGGAGTGTTTGAATTGTAGGATCTGTAGAATATAGTCAGGTCGCCATGTTGTAATGGCTCGGTATAGGAAGGTAGCCAGAAAATATTGACGGCGGTAGGACGGATAAAGCCACTTCAACTTGGTGTAGAACTGGGTAATATGCATATCCCTTGAGATCCCGAAGATAAAGCGGATCGAGCAATTCATTAAACGTTTAAGTTTGACTTTGAGTTCTCCCGAGAGTCCACCATACACCATGCAGCCATAGTCGAAGTGGGGGAAAACAAGAGAGGAGACCAGGAGTTGACAGGTTTTGAACAGAAGAAGATAACGTAGATGGTTAAACTGTTTCAGGGTGGATATAGTGCGGTGGGAGATTTGGGAGATGTGTGGTTTCCAGGAGAGGCTTTGATTGAGGGTAACGCCTAGGTTTTTAACGGTGGTATGGGAGGAGATAGGTGAGTTGTTCAGAAGAAGATTAGGAGGTGTTGAAATGGATTTGAGGAGTGAGGGGGATCCGATCAGGATGGCTTTTGTCTTCTCTGTATTCAATGTCAGCTTATTAAGATTTGCCCATGTGCATATTCCATTAATGTGTTGTTGCAGTTTCAGGATGGCATTAGAGAAATCTGTCGGGTTGAAGGAAAGATAAATTTGGACGTGGCGAATAGGTGATATTGACAGTGTATGATAGAGGAAGGGAGGTCATTCATGTAGATCGAAAAGAGGGTGGGGGATAATGAGGAACCTTGTGGAACGCCTCTGGACAGAGGTAAAGACATTGATTGAGGGTTATTAGGAACTACAACGTACTGGGAGCGATCGGTGAGAAAGGATTGGAACCACTTAAGGGTACTGGATGATGGGATATATTTTTAAGTTTGGATAGGAGGATATTATGGATAGTCGAATGCTTTAGAGAAATCAATAAGGATCAGGATGGTGAGTTTCTGTTGATCTATGGCTGTGTGGAGATCTTGGGAGATTTTAATGAGGGCGGAATGAGTGGAGTAGTCTGGTCTAAAACCAGACTGGAAGCAGTTCAAATGTTTATTTTGTTTAAGATATTGGGATAGTTGAGATTGTACTATTCGCTCCAAAGGTTTGGAAAGTTTAGACAAGAGGGAAATTGGACGGAAATCATTAGTGGTTGTGGGGTTAGAGATTTTGTTCAGAGGATGAACAAGAGCGGTTTTCCAGGTGCTGGGAAAAGTGGAACTTTGTTGTGAGAAATCATAGATATGATAAAGGACTGGGAAAATGGATGGCAGTGAGGATTTAATTAATTTAACTGGGATATTATCTGGTCCTAAATCTTTGGTTTGGGATTTACAGATGGATTTAAGGAGGTCGTCAGGGGTAATATGTGGAAAAAAAAATTATTGGGATTAAAGGGGGGGTGTATGAGGGGTTGAGCTGGTGCTTGGATAGAGGGATCGGATGAACAGGAGACAAAATGAGTGTTGAGTATGTCAGCTGAAATAGAGGTAGTCTGGGTTTGGGTGGATTTGCCTAAGGATAATTTACGGAGGATTGCCCACATAGCTTTGGAGTTTGGTGTGCTGGATAAGGATTGTTGGTAGTGGTGGGATTTGGCACGGCGTATCATGGATTGCGTACTGTTTCGAAGCAGCTTGAAATTCATGTAGTCTTCAGGGAGTCGAGTGCGCTTAAACCTTTGTCTTGCTGCGTCTCTTCGTTTGATTAAATTTTTTATCACAGGCATCAACCAAGGGGCTGGTGGGTACTTGATTGTCCTGACTTTAAGAGGAGCATGACGGTCTAGGATAGTGTGCAGTTGATTGGTTAAGTTTTCTACCATAAAGTCAACGGAGCTAGAAGAGTATATAGAGTCCCTTTAAATTGCGTCAAGATCGGGCATCAAAGTTTCGGATGATAGGAGATTAAGGTTTCTGAAAGGTATAGTTCGAGGACTAAATAGAGGAACAGGAAGGTTATAGGAGATCTGTATGAGACCGTGAGCAGACAAAAACGGAACCGGGTGCTGTGATGAGGCAAGGAGTTTATCAGGAGAGTCAATAATGCAAAGCTCAAGCCAAGAGTCTGAGTATTGGGTGTGATGGGTAGGATTGTACGGAACTATATACATATTAAGAGAGTAGAGGAGGTTTGATAAACAGGCTTGATCAGAGGTAGGAAATAATAGGTTGGTATTGAAATCTCCGAACAGAGCAATAATATGAAGTTCCTTTTTCTATTCTATTCTATATGTGTGTATATTAGAGTTTGACTTATATGTATTTGTGAATATGAATATTAAATGTATTCATTAATATATTTCTCTATGAATATAAATATATTTATATTCAAATAAAAATATATTAATATAGATATTTCGTAATTTTCAAGATATTTCAATATGATTGTATTCATGCCTTTAACAATGAATATGCTTGTATTGACAGAAATTAATAGGAATAGTTTATATAGGGTTATGAATGATTACTATTATTTATTAAATTAATATTAAAATGAATACAAATGTTTGCAATGACATTCTCTCCTGTAATAGTGAATAATGCTCGTATTTGCAGGTGTGAATAACAATACAATTATGTCACATAATCTTATGAATAATTATTCTTAGTAAAAAAATATATAAAAAGCATGTTTCATTACAACCCATGATGGTCTGGAATTAATTAAGAAAAATACTGCGGTAGAATGTGATATGGTCGAATAACCTTCTTACACGACTGTTGACTAACGATTTACTACCTAAGAAAATACTTATGTTATAAACAAATATTAATTTGACCACTAATTTACTGTTCTGGATACAAATATTTTATATCGCATTCACTCGTGTAAATTAGTTGTATTTACATGAACAATGCAGTTATATTTACAGGTCTGATAAAGAATGTTGTTATATTCACATAATATCATAACTAGATATATATATATTTTTAAAAAAATTAATGATAAATATCAAATTTCCTTAAATTAAACAGCTTTTAAAATGTTCACCACATCTAATGCTATGTTTGGCATCACATACCTGTTTTCCTGGCCGAGTTCTTGTTGGCGAATTCCTACTGCACTAGAGAAAGGTGGTATTTCCATCGTGGAAAAATCTGAACAATTAATGGAATCTGCTTCAAAGGGAAAGCATTGTCACAGTGTGACTGTTTGAAAGCTCAACACAAAACAGAATTAGTCTTGTTCATGAATTTGTAATGTGTGAAGATTTTTAAAGAGATTCATTCAATAAACACATTAATGTCCAGTACATTCTCCTAATTTTTCCATATTCTTGATTGATCATTTTTTAATGTTTGAATTTGTTTAAATTTTTATTCAAATAATATATTGATATAGATCAGGGGTTGCCAAACTTTTTGGCCTGTGGGCCACATTGAGATTTCCACTTAGTCCCAATGAGTGATGAGAAAAAAAAGTTTGTTCTATAAATGACATTTCAGTTGTGAAATGACCTTTCTAAGAGAAATGGTTTATGCATTAAATGTTATAATGTAAATGTAATAACCTTATGTTTGGATGGTTAACTATATTTAATATTCAGCCATGTAATCAAGGACACTTCCGTGGGCTGGATCCAGCCCGTGGGCCGTAGTTTGGAGACCCCTGATATAGATTATAGATTTGTTGTAACTTACCTTATTAGTAAGTATTATTAATTCTTATATTGGATCTATATTTCAATTTTTGAGTTATTATTATTTTATGATTTTTCTTTTTTTTTTTAGGAATTAGATGACTTGATTCCATGTAGGGAAATTGATAAAGACTTTAAAGATGTTAATCAATTAGCTCTGCCTATTCCTATGAATATAATGAATCCTATTCCTAAACCAACAGAAGTTGATTATACTCCTAAACTTATAGAAGAATATATTTTAGAACCAGAACAGCAAATTTTAAAGATTGAACAAAAAGAACCCTCTAAATATCGTATTAAATTAGAAATTTTACAGAGACCTGCTAATTCAGAATACGTTGGGACTCTTTATGTGGATAGTAAATACAAAGAAGGTGAAAATAATGGATCTTTATGCAGGTATTTTATTCTATTGTGGAAATAACATTAAATCTCCGCCAGGCACATTATAGTTATACAACAGAGCTCAGGCACAATGCGTCTGACAGGCATACATAAAGTAATCACAAATTTATAACCATTAATTTTGATTTATTTATTTGTGTTATGAAAGTAGACTGTGGTTTTCATATATTTAATATATATGTACGAAATATTTAAACGGAAAACAAAAATTGAAATTTATTTTTAAAAAAAACTTTTATTATTAGAAACATTGAAAAAGAAAAATTCAAATCTTACATTAAACTTATTCCAGTTTACAGGGCAACAAATAAAATAATTTTTAATAATTATGCAATTGCTTTGTGCCATTTCTCACATTCATAATTTAGCATCCTTTTGAAACTCATTTCCAAGGTACACTTTTATTTCTGAGGTTCAATTTTCTGCAACATCTTTCATATACTTATATTTTATTCAACAATATCTTAGATTTATTGGGATTCCAATTATCTCCACACTTCTTTGGCTTAGTTCTCTAATCACCAGATGATGCAGTGGAGAAAATGAAAAAATAAAAAGATATCTTATGTATTTATATGTCAAAACAAAATATATGATAAACTAAAAATTCCACCCTAATAACAGGATCTGTGTAGAAAGGAAATCACTCCCGAGAATAGACAAATTCAAATACCTCGGATTCACAATAATCTCAATGAATGACTAACAGTCAGAAATAGATCCGAGTATAAATAGCGCAAACAGAGCTTTCTTCTCCCTTTCAAAGGTATTGAAAGGGTGTACAATGCTATGATAAAGCCAGTTATAATATATGGCTGTGAGACCTGGACACTAACCAGTGCCCTGGAAAAAAGTATTGAAAGATTTGAGATAAAAATACTCTGAACCATAACTGGGGTGATCTGGGATCAGAGTAATTATATATGGAGAAGAAAGATGAATAAATAGCTGCTTACAGAAACTAGTCAATCAATATCTCAAGATATGAAGCCACAGAGGTAAAGATGGATGAGGCATGTAGCTCGGAGCAATCCATCTGAAAGCCTCTACATAGCAATGAATGCTTCAATAGAAGGCAAAAGACCACCTGGAAGGTCAAAAAGCAGATGGATAGATAAAATCAACAAAGATGCAATAGAGCTGCAGATAAATGGAAAGAGATAGCCCAAGATTGGCAGAGATGGATCAGGCTTGTTATGGCAGCAAAAGATTTACTAGGTCTGTAGGGAAAATAAAATTAATTATTTGTTAATAATCAAATAACATAAAAATAAACACTTGTGATTTAAAATATAGATTTTAGGGACCTTTATTTGGGTAGGGTAGTGGGGTAGCTCAGTGGTAGGGCAATGATCTTGCAATGCTCAAGGTTCCTGGTTCGAATTCTGGCTCATGGCAGAAAAATTATTTATTCTGTTCCATTGCCAGTGGGGCGACTCTGAGTTCAGGAGACCCTCCTGGGACACACCCAGCCTCTATAAAATGGATACCCTTAATTAAATAATTAATTAAGAGGGAAAACCTGGTGGTTGAGCGTGATCTCAATCAAATCACCTACTTGCACAACCGTTGTCTAAGAAACAGTACTTTCCCTTAATAGCACTGAACCCAAGACTCTTCATGGGTTGTAGTGGTACTGATTTGTTTTTATTCGGGTAAAAATCTGGATGCGATGTGCCTTAGAGATCAGAATGATCCTAACAGCTTTTCCTGAAGGAAACGAATAAACTGAACATTTTAGTTTCATACATCCAGCAAAGATAGGATACTACTAGAAACAGCAAACTTTTAACATTTAATACAAGAAGAAAAAGGAACTAAAACATACGAGTAATGCCTGTCAGGCTAGTTGTGCCTGATGGAGAATTAATTTGATTATCACTTTCCATTTTACTGTAATTTGGTTGTATTTTTATACTTAACCTTTTATTTAGAACAATACACTCTTATTTATCAATAATAATAATAGATTTCTAACTTCTCTGTCTTGAAAGTTTTATTTATTTTTTCAATAACTTTATGTTTCATCTCTCCTGTAGTGGATGTTTATTTAAATAGCTGTCTTTCTTTTCTATTTGTTATTTAGTTGTTTTGAATGATCTACCTCTCACGATTTAGTAATAATCTGTGAGTGATAGGATAATGGTTTCTTGTTTAATGGAATTGAGAGTGACATACTTAGTGGGCCACATCCTTACTGGTGTCATGATTTTGAGCACGTCTACTGGAAGGCCAAAGAAATATAAATTGTTCCTTCAGGGATTGTTATATGAACCTAATTAAATTTTTTCTTTCCCCTCAAAGGCTTGCTTTAATGTTCATAATCTAAAGTTAGGAGAATGATGCAGATTAAGAATTGAAGAAAGATTTCTTTCTTGATCATTGAAAACTTTCTACTTTGCTAGACTGTTGACCGTTTGTTGTTTTATAGCCTTAAGATTTTTCTTCCTACTTCATACTTTATAACTAACTTTGTTTATTTATGTATTATTAACTAAAAAATAATAATACTAACAAGATTTCTGGTTAGCTAGATATTATAATATTAAATTTATGTTTATATATAGTGTCATGTCATAGAGATACATATGTCATAATTTTTTCCTTATTTTTTCTTGTTTCAAAGTTTAATGGTTTTGGTGCATATGTTTTGTGAAATAGCAAATAAATTGTTTATTATTGTCCTGTTTTATTGTTTAATGCAGTAAAATAATTTGAGACAGTGGTGTACTCTGGATTTTTTTACTTACTGCATATATATATTGTAACATCCCTCTTATATTTCACAAATAATAATAATATAATCTCTTAAGATCACTTTATACCGTTAGGATACTTCCAAAAGAAACAAGAGGTTGTTATAATAATAAACAAAATTATGAGAGTATTAATATTTTTATTTATCTCAGGTGTGGGTTACAGACAATCAGATCAACTCAGACAAACTATTATTATTTACTCTATTTATACTAAAATTAAACATTGATTTTAAAATAAAGTCAAGTATGAATTGGCAAGCTAACCTTTTTTTATATATAGTGTTTCTTCCTTTGTGGCTCTGAATTCATTTGTTTTCAAACACTTTTCAAAGTTCTGCCAAACACAACTTCCAAAATGGTAACACTATCATTTACTTAACTTTAACTTCCTGGAATATCCTCTCTCTTTCGATCACAAACAACTAGTCTCTCTACCAAACAACAACTTCCAAGGTGGTAATACTATTATTGGGTTTTACCCACTGGAGCCAGGATCACTTCTCCTATCCTCTCTTCACTGCAGTCACACAACAACTGTTTGCCAAAACAAAAACCTTTGTCCCTCTCCTCTTTGGGATTTTCCTTCTTGGGAAACTACAGAGCAGCCATTTTCTTTTCCCTGCACTAGTAGAACTAGATTAGCTTGCCTTTTAGTTGTTCAACATTAATTTATTAAATCATTTTTATCCACTTCCATTAAAGGTGTATATTACGATATATATATATATATATATATATATATATATATATTATATATATATATATATATATATATATATATATACTACAGCTCTTCTCCAACAGCTCTATTCTTTGGTTTCAGTCTTTTCTTTCTGACCGGACTCAAGTAGTTAACATTCCAAACCAACACCTTCTTCCTTCCTTACTCTATCCTCTGGAGTGGCCCAAGGTTCGAGCATTTCCCCTCTCCTATTTAATTTCTATCCAGTTTAGTTTTAATCCAGTTATCTCATGTATCAGGTTGCCAGGCAATGGCTCTGCTGTGCACACACGTTAGCCCATTCGCCCACTCCGCTTCCCAGATTGAAGCGACTTATGACCTCCTTCTTAAGCTTTATCTTCGGTTCTTCCGGGTGGTCTCATGTGTCAAACTTTTATGATGAGTTAAAGTGGTGCTTCCCTTCCTTCCACTGACAATATTTCCTTGGATCTTACCTATTCCAAACAATCAACTCCTGGCACCCTTCCCACGTATACAGTCTACTACAGCTCAGACCCATAGTCCACTCCCAGAAGACAAGATCCTGTGTTTCCGACCTTTATATTCCTTCCCATAGAATTAAAACATTGAATATTCCTAATTGCCCTATCCACTGTCTTCTGGAATATCTTGCCATCTGATGACCGTCATGCCTCGTCCTCATTAAAATACCATCTCTACCAATTCCTTCTTACATCGCAAAATACTGTATAATCATGAAATAAATTTTGACTGAATTGAATGGTTTTTGAAACTGTTAAAGTTATCTTAAGAACCAACTCATAGTGCTTATAGCATTTTGTTTTTATTTTATCTGATCTGTTTTCTTTTTCATTTCATTAATGTAATTTTTTTTAAACATTTTTTTACTTTCTGTTACTCATATATTTTCACTGAAGATATTGTATATATTCTTTAATTTTCATTAATATAGTTTTTGGCCAGATATGTTTTTTATTTTTTGTTCATAAATGTTATTCTTAATGGACCTTTTTCCAGAATAAAGTTTGTTTTCTATTCTATTATTATATATATATATACCGCTCAAAATTGAATAGGGATATTGTTAGTTATATATGATATATTTTCCCTAAGTTTTATTTTAATGTTACCATAATATACTTTGAAAATCATTATAAATAAGATTGTATTTGACCTTGAGAAATTTTATAAAAGATGTTTTTAAAAAATAATAAAATTAAAGGTTTATGTGATGCTGTTTTTATAATTGTGAATTGTAAACTTTAATAATCTGTTACATACTGCTTCTCCGCACCTATTGAACATACCGTTTATAATAGTAGTCACTGATTTCACAAGGAATTTCATACCATAAACATGGTAATACTGCTCTTAGTTGCTGAAGGTTAAGACTCTGCAAAAGTGATTAAAAAGCCACAATGCCGCAATGCATCCCACATATGCTCAATGGAATTTAGATGTGGAAACAATATGGGAAGGAGCAGATGTGAAATGTCCATATTTTCAAGACATATGGGAGGCACTTTGTGTTAAAAATGTTCCAAGGAGCCTGGTAAAAGCCATTTAGTCCACATCCCAAGGCCCGAAAGGAATTGTCAGACTAAATGGTCAGGAGTTTGGGTACTTTAACATAGTGTAGGGGGGTTAAACAAGGTGACAGTCTTAGCCCCTTACTATTCATACTTAAAAAAAAACAAAACACAAAACTTGAATTTTCTATTTTTCTGTGGAAAATCCCCCATTGTTAATATGAACTTTTTTGTAGCTCTTGAGGTATACTATTCACCTCTTTAAATATTTCCCTCTGCTTACGGGACACCCTTTTTAGACTAAAATTTGAACTAGAAACAAACAATAATACAAGATATATTTTTATTTAAAGGTAATTATACTTTAAAAATAGAAATACAAATAAAACAATATCATTTTTAAAAAATAAAAATTGATCCATTTTTTGTTTTTAAATTTTTCAATCCTTTTTGAGGTGCCTCATCTCTCAATCTCTGGGTAGTAATATTTTTGACTGATCTATCCACTGTTTTTCTGAGTGATAAAACTGCATCATTTTGTGAAGGTCCTGCCATGTCATAATTCTATTCCATTATTATAATTATTAGCTATTACCTTTGTAGCCTTTTGGGCTCTTCTTCTGTTAAGCTCTATAATAGTTTGTCTTTACTTTTTTTTTTATTTTTTTTTATTTATGACATTTACAACTGTATTAATAAATAAAATACATTTAGTAAATGTCTTTACTCAAAATTTGAAAACCTTGGGTTGTTTGTATCCAAGGAAAGTCATTCTTTAACATCCTTAATATTATATTCTTGGCTATACCTAGGACTTGCTGGGCTACTAATGAAAGGCTGCACAAAATGTATTAACCTCTTGAAGACTCATTGAGGAATCCAAGGACCACATTGATCTGTAGCACCATGTAATAGCAGTAGTGGGCGGGGCTGAACAGGCTAACACCTGTGCACTGCACCGCCGCGTTGCCCGCAACCTGATATATAAGACAAATTGATAAAAAATAATCATGAGTTCACTTTCCAGTGTCAGGGGTCTTTTAAATCTCCGACTTCACTCCCTGGCCCAGGAAAACCCTGTATAGCCATATAAAAATGTAATACCAGTAGTAGATCAAGTAGGGGTGTTCCATTGTATTCAAGTACTTACTTAATTACAATTATGAGATTAAATGGAATGTTTACAGACTTAACCTTACAGAAAATCTTGAGAATTGAACTCATGTCTTTATGGCTGTACCTTGTATAAAGCCTTGTCATCTCATGAGATCTTCCTTTATTTAATCAGTTATAATGATTTTCCATATGAATTCAAAATTTTAAATGTTAAAGTAAGTTTTTGAAAAATACTTTTTATTTAAAAAATTATTTTAGGCTGATAAAAAATTTAATATGTTCCAGTTTTAATGATTCCTTATTATTATCTGTTTTCAGTTTTACCCTAGGTTCAAAGGCTAATGCTAGCAGGTATATTGAGCAGTTTACAGATATTTTTACTAAAGAAGGTCGAAAATCAGTGAGAATCACCCATTCAGTTCCAGGACAGCCTACAAGGGAAACTTGTACTACTACTATGCTTGAACTTGAACCTAAAAATCACACTAATTTAAGGATACACAGTAGTGGAAAAGCATTCATGCAGGTAAATATATGTTTTTATTTTTGCGTTTGTATGCATAGCTTCAAATTACATTGTTTTCTTGTGTAATGGTGTATTTATTTTACTAGATTGGAGGCAATTCAACTTTAGGAAATCTAACACAAGGCTCTTTAAGAAAACACCCCAAAATTCAATTTCAATTACAGCAAGGAACAGCAGGTTAGCGATGATACTTTTACTACACATTTTTTGTTTTTGTTGCAGATTCAATTACTTTTCAAGTGTCAGTTTATTTTTCAAAATAATTTTAATATTCTTTTTGTAATATTTATAAATTTCCTAACCATATTTCTCGGTATTTCTTAAGACTCATGCACACAGAACATTACATCTCAGTAGTGCAATATTGTTGTCTGCGTTGATTTGGTAATATAGTTGTGTAAAATTCTATTCCATAGTCACAGTCATTCAGGGTGAGATAATCCGCAGTGATACATACAAAGGGATCACTGAACACCAGGATATCTGTGTGCATGAGTATTTATTGTCTGATTTCTATAGGCTTAATCATTAACTTAATGATTATGTTGGTTGTTATTTTTGTTTCAGTAAAAACTGTGAATGCTGTTGGTACAGTTGATGGAACATCATTAAGTTTAACATCAAATGTTATGGCACGCATAGCAAAATCTGCTCTATCCAGTAGCCAAGTATCGAATAAGAATCTTAATTCAAAAGATAAAATAGTTGCACGCAAAATGACCATTACTAGTTCAAAAATCAGACCTGTTCTATCAGGAATAACTTGTTCCTCAATGAAGAAACATATAACATTACCCAACCAAAAGGTTCAGGAACCAGTATTAAATTTAACTGATATTGGAAATTTACATCATGCAATTAGTGTCAGTTCCTTAACACCAGCGATGAACGTAACTAACCTGAAGGGATTCAAATCTGGCATTTTAAGAAATGTTCATACTATTCCTGCAAATTTAGAAGGCTCTTCTACGATACAATCACCTGGAATACCGACTGTGCATGTAGTTTCTGGGCCAAAAGAAAAACAAATAGTTTCAAATGGTCAAAGCACTGTTTCTAGTTTAAGTTTATCATTACCTAGTCTCTCAGCACTCCTCGCAGGTAAATGGACTATTTTTTGTTGTGTATATATTTTTTTAGGTAATTGAATAATAAATTTAATTATATAGTTTTATTTTTTATTTTATATATATATATATATATATATATATATATATATATATATATATATATAAATCCCTTTGTTATGTTAATTACATTTTGTACTAGATAAATATTTGTCAACAGAAAAAAATTAGGTCCAATTGATATATTTAGATGGACTGTTAATATTAGTTAAAGTTTGTTATTTATGTAAATTAATTATTTCATAAAAGTCATTTTTTAAATAAAACTTTTAAAAGAAGCTCATGTTGTTTAAAAGAACAAAACATTATAGTTACAAAAAAGTTGTGTCTGGATTAAGGAATGAAAGTTCTTGTTAAATTAAACGATGTAAAAATTTATTATATTATAGTTGAACCATAGCCGTAATTAATTGTTGTTAACATATCAAGATATGTTAAACATAGAAGGTGAAAAAGAAAGAGCATTGAAGGATTAAAGATGGAATCAAAGATTGTTATCATAAAAATGTATTCTTAATAGGCAGTATTAGTTTTAAATTTTTTTATGTAATAATTATTAAAATTATCAATTTAATGTAAGCCTGTGATAATCTTCTTTTTCTACTTGAATACATATCTTAAATATAACAATATTGAATATTCCGATGATCACAAATTATTTTCTTTATTTTTTCCTATTTGTGTGCATTTCTACTTAATCTTCTTTTTTTTTTAATCCACTTATGAATAGTATTTTTGATAATGATATTTATTGTTGAAGGATATGTAATATTTTAAAACTTATTTTGAAGAGTTATATTTAAACTTATTAAATAAGTAAGTTGTCTATGTTGTATCGGTCATATAATAATTATCTTTCATTATATACATTTATTTGATTGTGTCTGTGACCTCCAGCATATGACACCTCTTTGTCGAGGATAATCTCTTAACTTTGCCCTTGGTTATGTTCATTATGTTAGGATTCATTCAATATAAATTATTCTTGAGCACTGTCTTCTTGCTTTTTGTTGTTTCATCAATTTGGGTGATATTTCAAATCTATTTCCATCATCTAGATTTCTCATCCATATTTAACAATTAGTCCTATTAAAATTTCAGTTTTTTAAAATCATTAATTATTGATTAAATTTATGATTTTTAAGCTGTGTTTTTAAATTGTTATTGATTATTTGCTTTATACTGTAATTTTCTGGTAAAAGTATGCAACAATCAACAGACAAGCAAGTATTCGTTAAATGAATATTCAACTATTACTTTACAATTATTAATGATTCAAGCGGAGATTTCATGATCTTAATAAAAATTGAATCATATATTCAATATACATGCAAGTTAAAGGCTTAATACATTCTTTGGAAGCTTTTATTGTTTAGAATGACGTATATATCAAGTGAGTACATATATATATGTATTTATTAAAATGTTTATGAACATTTATTTTTTATAGATTCATCCTTGGCTACTTCTCAAATTTCGTTGAAGAAAAACGGTCCTACTCTGGATACTCCATAAGGGCACATTTATGGTAAGTTTTGTAATATTAATGAAATATTTTTTTAATTTTATTATATTTAGAAAATATTTAACAATAAAGCAGATGTGCAAAGTATATGAACATATTTCAAGTGAGTTGCCAATTAGTTTTAAAATGTTCTCTGTAGCCGTGCATTTAATATTTCATAATATCATTTAAATTCTAAGCAGCTTAAATAAACTCCGTTTTTTAAAAAATCATGGATTAATTGCAATTTTTTTCATTAGCCTATCACTTGACTACAAATCTATACCTATAGAAAAATCCCTACTCATGGAAAAAAACTCCTTGTTTGGTAAGCTTTGAGGCCGTGATAATTAAGTTCAGATTTATTATAGAATCAGCAAAGGCATTTCTAGTTTTGGAAAACAATTATGTTGGGTAAAATTCTATCTCCTCAAAGTACTGTATTGCAATTCATTAATTTCTGAAATATACTATAAAGTTATGTAATATAAATCTGTATTAAAAAATTATAGAAAAAATGTGTAATAAAATATTTAATATAAATACAACAAATTAAAAAAAATTAAAATTAAAAATTGGCCTTAAATTAAAAAATATAATAATAATACACAATAATCTCGGTAATCCCAGAATAAAGATGATTTCCTGTTTCTATTTTTATTTCTAATTCAACCTAAACAGCCACGGGTCTATAACATATAAGTGGACAGCTAATTTGCCAACGCTTCGCCGATTCAGGCATCATCGGTGCAGAAAATACAAGATCACATATATGCAGGAAGAAAGAAAGAAACAAAGAAAAAAAATTGCTTTAGACAGTTCATCAAGCAATCCAAAAACATACTGAAGGAAACAGGAGAGGAAGGCCATGTAAAACAGCGGATTAGCAGGAATACAGGAAAAAACAAAACAATATTCATACTTGAGATATAATAAAAAAAAATGTGTTGATACAATTAAATAAAAAAAAGAACAAATTAATAAATAAAAAAAAATCTCGATGGTGTATATAAAATCTATCTATAACCAACTAAACTTAGTGGATACAAGGCTACTCCAAATTAATACTACTGAAATTAACAAAAAGCTCGAAAAGAGACACTATAAATGAACAATCAAAACTATACAGCCATGAGTCTCTAATAAGTGAATAGTTTACTTGCTATTTATAATGTATATTTTCGAGCTTTTCACTTATTTTAGTAATCTTGGTAATGATAATTTAAAATGAAATTCAATGTCAATTTTCAATGAAGGCTGCTTTTTAATATACTCTTTAACAATACTAAGCTCTTGCTTAAATGTTCTTGTCTTATAGTGTGAGGGTTACTATTATTACTCAACTGTTAAAAGGAGACGAGATTCATAAATGGCCTGAGTTATTTTCATGAAAAGTTAAATATAATTAAATTAAGAAGGGAATATTTAGTTGATCACATAATCCCCATAATTGTGATCTATGTAAAAAGTTTTAGTATACAAAATCAGCTGCACTTTAGATGATAATCTTTAAATATTTATTTTTTGAAATGAAGAATAACAAGGCAGAAAGTGGATCATACCAGTAGCCTCATTAGGAGGAGGGGGATCCAGTTGGCCCCAGGCCCCACTCACTAAGAGAGCATTAAGCAGGGGATTTATTTTTTTGTTTACATTTAATTATTTTTGTGTATTATTTTTCATATGCGCACTTACTGTTTTATTATTTACTTCATAAAGGTTTCTGTTTATAAAGAAGCTTAAGCATGGAGTTGATAATTAATGCATGCTTTAATGAGTTTAAAAAATGCATTTTGTATCCTTTTAAAAGAAGATTAGTTAGGGTTTTCAGTTGAAAAAAATATAAAATAAATAAATTATATTTATTTTTATTTTTTCCTGACCTTTCGGCTCAAAGTTCAGGCCTTCATCAAGGCTAAGAAAAAAAACAGATAACAGTGGCTATGAGAAACTATTACATTAAAAAGAAAATAATAATATGTAGGTGAAAGGTATAGTCTAAAAACATGCAGGTAGAATAAGCTTATAGGAAATGTAAAATAACGATAACAAAGCTAGGAATAGAAAGTAGCGGAATCAAAATTAGTTACTTATGAATAAATAATAACAGTAACAGAGAATTGTGAAATAAATAATTACGACAATAGGTTATGTTAGGGACTAATGAAATAAATATTATGAAATAAGGTAATATAAGAAATGAAAAATGTGTCTTATGTTACCTTATTTCATTAGTCCCTAACTTTGTTGCTATTATCATTTATTTCATAGTTACCTGTTACTGTTATTATTTATTCATAAGTTTTTTTTTTAGTCGCCCCAAGACTCTCACTAAAGTCCTATACTGCCCCTATTGTTGTATTAAAATGTAATGGAGATACAGATGTACATTATTATTATTTATTTATTTTTAAAAATATATTTTGGATTCTTCAATAAATTTGCACAATGCCTTAATCGTATCCCTGTCTAGATCAGCCAGCCCTTCGAGGAAAGTGCTATTGTTTTGGATGAGGGGATATTTCTTCCGGTATTTATATATCTCTTGCATTTTAAAATAATGTGGGTCCTCGATGGAGTTACATGTCGAACATTTATCATTTTTTTCAACTTTAATTAATGTTAAACCACGATTTGTTTGACCATGGTTAATTCATAAGTTCTTAACTTTGTTACCTTTCTGTTAGAAATCCTGACTTTGCTTCCACTACTTTCTATTTCTAACTTTGCTATCATTATTTTATATTTCTTTCAAGTTTATTATTCTGCCTACTTTATTTTACTTTAAGTTTATTCTACCTACATGTTTTTAGACTACACCTTCACCTACCTATTATTATTTTCTTTTTAATGTTAATAGTTTCACATACCCATTGTTATCTGTTTTTTTTTGTTGCATTGATGAAGGGCTGAACATTTGGTCAAACATTAGCAAAAAATAAAAATAAATATAATTTATTTATTTTAAATTTTTTTTTTTTACTAAACACCCAAATCAATCTTCTCTTCAATTATTCACTACAGTCAACCATCAATCCACAATAATCTTTTTAAAATTATGATTTTTGTTTGGTATTTATATTCATCCTACTTCTACTAGCAGAAACTGGTTGATGTTACTTTTAAATAAGTTATCAAATGTTATTTATAAGTTTTTTATTGTTTTAAGAGATTATAAATTTTTTTTTAGGTGATTTGGAAGCACATCATAAAGTTTTTTAATAATATAAACAGTGATTTAAAGCTATTTTAAATATGGACGAAGAATCGTTGAAATTTGAGTTAATATAGTTGACACTTCTAATTCTACGAATGAATCAGAAATAAATCATGGTGATAATTGTAATGGAAAATTTACAATTAAAAGTATATTATTAGATTTTAATAAAATTGAGCAAGAAGTATGATCTCTGATCATGAAAAAGATAATAAATAAATATAAGTGCTACCAGTACCATAATCAATGAGTGCGAATCTGTTCATTGTTTTGATGGTTGTAATATGCATTTAGGTTTTTTATTATTATAAAGTATGGTTGCAATATGTTAATAAATTCTGTAATATAAAATCAATCAGGTTTCCTAAATCTTTAAAAATTTTGTATTTATTTAAAGAATATGTTGTGATTTTGTTTTATTTTTTAAATGGTTATTTTATTAATGGAAGAATGGAAATTCACATCACGGTGTTAAAAATTAAAACAAAAATAGTTTCAATATGGTTGATGTATGAAATCATAATATAATAAAATTTTTATATAATATAATTGAACGTTTATTGTATTTTTACCTTTATATTTGTTTATTTTAGGTTAGTATAATTAATAACTAGTTATAAAAATGTTTTGAAATTAAATGATTGAATTCCTTTTCATATAAATAGATTAACGAATTTTATATGAAACATGAAAATAAAAATTTTTAATGCATTTTTTATTATTATATTTTTATCTGTGTATATACTTCTGTTTTAAGTTAAGATATATACTATAAATAATTTTATAAAATCAGTTTTAGAAATTAACTGACTAAATTATTTATAGTATTGATCTGTTTTTAATTATTAATTATTTTAATAGGCATGTGACATCACCTGTATTTTGATATGACAATGTCCAATGTATATTTGTACATATTAAAAAGCAATAAACAATTATTGTTGTATGTTTATTTTTTTTTCTGAGCCAACATTTATTGTCAATATTTATCTTTAGTTCATAATTATGGAAATTTTGTTTATAGGTAATTTATTCCATCATTTGGTTTACTTTTTAAGATATATGATAATATGGATTTTATAGTTTTTATTGAAATGAAAATAAAGACCTTTTTTTGTTGGTTTTTATTCCTTAGGTTTATGAAATGGTACTCCTTCTTCTTTTCCTTCCTCCATATACCTCTCAGTGTGTATGAGCCTTTATCCATCTAATTTACTCTTGCTTATCTTGTGCGATCTGTTTCATTTGGACAAAATATTATACTGATGCCTTTAATAATTCTTTAATCGTACTAAGATTTTCAAGGCATTATGACAGTTGGAGGAGGTGAGAAATTAGAATCTTCTCAGCTAACAAACATGTTGGACCAGAAGTTCTTGCCATTATTGTTGAAAAGTAAAATTCAGATTAATTAAATATTCAAAACCCATTGAAAATTTAAACTGTTTTTTTATTTTACTAGTTTTTATGTTTCTATTCTAGAAACATTCTCGATTTTTCATTCAGGGTAACAATACAACATTTAGGTTGTTCCAAAATAGAAATTCATTTTTTCCTTTTTCTTTCTTCTGTTCTTTTTCCTTCTGTAAAAGTGTTAAAAAAGGAAAAGAAAAAAAGAAGACATTGTGGATGACATATAGGATAATATTTAGGAACAATAAGAAGTAAACAATAACAATAAACTAACACTTTATTCTTTAAGATAGGGCAGAGCCTCAAAACTTTGAATATGTAAGCAAAAACCATGAGTAATTAAAGAACTAACGCCTTGTAGGAAGATATAAACAATTTTTT